GTGCTTCGCCCTAATTATACTTTCAATACGTAAAAGAAAATAATAACAACCAGTGTCAATACCCAGACAAGAAATTTATGTTATTCTTCTTTAAAAGACCTGTGTGGGTAATAATGAGATAATTATCAGGAGTCGTGGCAAAGGTCATAGTATTTTCATTGTACCGCCCAAACTTATAGTAATATCATTTCTCAAACCTCACAAAACTAATAAGTAAATGTTTAGATAAATCCATTGTCCCTTCTGCTTACTTTTTGGGGTCTGCACTGAATCACACCTGAGTTTATTAATTATAATCACCCATTGAGAATGGATGATCAGGAACTACCCTCATTGTGGTTTTTCTCAAATAAAAGAGAAGTGTTAATTATATTGTTACCATTCCTTATAAATCCTATGCGCTTAAAATTAGCTGGTCAACTTTATTTGATTTGCTTAATGTGGCATAGACAGGATATTCAAAGAAAAATTAAGTGAAAATGTCAACTTTAAATCTAAATACATTCACCATTGATTCATATTTATTTTTCATGAGCAGTAAAGTTAATGCTTTAGTTTCCGCTCTACTGTAAAGAAACCTCTTTAAACTGGAAAACCAACACAAGGACACTTTTTGAAAGAAAATAACTATTTATTCAAGACATTACAGGCTTTCTGCAAAGCACATAATAGTAGTATGTCCTGTGGTTTTATTTAGATCTGTGGACAATACTTACTGATGGAGAAAGTTAGTAAACCAGTGTTTATTTGTTGATTAAAGACTCAAATCACTATCGACCAGTGTTGAATTTCTGGAGGCAACCACTTTAAGAATCAGTTTTTCCCCTAAAATGAACTCTTCATTCCTAAAAGAGCTAGGCAGCAAACTAACCTTATTTGCAAAACTTCAAGAAAACCAACAGAGCAAATAATCTTATAAGTGATACATGACTCTTATTTTAATCCAGCTTTCAAGGGGAAAAAATCAAAAGTCCTCGAAGATAAACAATTAAAAAGCTCACTAATCTGTCCAGAAGAAAGCTCTGCACTTTCCATTACTCGGTGAATAATAATCCCCACCCACCCATTGTTTTAAAACCTTAATTTTATTCCTTACAACAAACCAGAGGGCACAACATTGAAAATGATCTCATAACCTCCAACAAAAGATGCTATTAGATCTGTGGTTAGCATGGTTTAGTGTCGTAGTACATTCACCCAGTTCTTGCTTATGCCATTGACTTTCAGTCATTCACCTGAAAAGTTTTCAAATCATATGACTCAATTCCCCTTAACCAATAATCCCCCTTTGCTAAACCACTGTAATACATCCTTCACAACCTCTGCAATTTCGGTCGGTCGATATGACAATAACTCAGCTGATTACATTCAGACTAGGTGACCTGACCGATCAGCAAACGGTTTCATCACTTCTGGTTCAGTAAGTATGGGCAAAATAAATGACAAACCAGCTTCAAAACTTCAAAAGATATTGGTAAAAAAAAACCAATAATCCCCCTTTTATACATAATGCTAAACCACTGTAATACATTTTGAAATCCTTCACAACCTTTTTTGGCTGCAATTTTTCCTATATATTTCTATGTAAAACTTTGATTCCCTATAATGGCCCTGCCCTTCCCCCGGGGGTCACGATTCCTAAAATTTAGAATTTACAATAACTTTTTCTGGCCCACTGCTGATTTTCACATATATTTCTATATAAAACTTTGATTCCCCATTGTGGCCCCGGTGAACAATTTAGAATCTACATTATACCAGTATGCTTCCACTGATAATTCTATCAAAAAATTTTGATAACCCATTGTGGCCCCGCCCTTTCATCACTTCTGGTTCCAGTAAGTTTCATGGGCAAAATAAATGATATATTTCATATAAAACCAGCTTCATTAAACAATTCAAAAGATATTGGTAAAAAAACAAAACAAATCAGCATGCTATGGTTATATATAAGTCAATTGATAGGACAGGGTGAGTGACTCTTTTGACACAAAACTAGAATCAAATGATTAAGAAACCTATAAATGAATGAAAGTCTAATCGGTTCTATTATTAAATCTTAATCTATATTGAAAAAAATCCATCTTGTAAAGTCTATATACTTAAATGTCTTCATTATTTTCTTTGATAATGAACCAAATATAGTTGTTATTACATCCTTGCTGGACCTGATTGTAAAATCCAGTAAAAGTGGTGCCCTAAATGGCATATCATTAATTTTTTCATTAACAGTTAAGCCCTGCAGTAAAAAAAAAAAATAGATAGATTGTCCAACACTAACACCAATGGATCACTTTCACTTGGGTTCATTGTTAGAGACCATGCAAGCATATTTAAAAAAAATATATATTAGCTTTCCTTCTTTTTTTTAATCACAACTTAAGATTTTAAAAAAAATTAAATGCAAAGTAAAGACCTTTAATTAAAGAATGGACTATAAAAATATTTTGAATTCACAAAATGAAACAAGGCTAAGATTCCAAGTGGTACATTAACAGTTTGAAAGAAGACATGCAAAATGAGCACTAATAACAGGGATTCTTTTAAAAATTGATTTGCCTTGAAGTTTAATATCTAAAGAATTTCTACGTGGTATAAAGCATTGATATGTACACTTACAGACCAACTGATTAACACCTTGTGCAGTTTTCAAAGACATAATACCTGTGACTAAATTGATAATTTGACAATTTTGTATGAATTCATTGTAGGGGGCAACCTCTATGTAATATGGAACAGGTGTAACTTTTTCAAAACAGCACAGATCTTTTCAATGACTTGTTAGATTTTGAATAGTGAATATTGATTTAAAATGCATGTTTTTACATTCCAAGCACACAAATAAGGTTTCTCCTCTAGAATTAAAATCTAATTGCTATTTATGAGTGATTCCTTTTGTTATGCATTCCAATAAACACCTGTTGATTAAATGGGAATCCATGTTAGAAAAACCACTGGTACCATAGAACCATATGCAGAAAGCTTAAAATGCTGTATTATTATGACAGTTTACAAAGTGATATTTCATTTAGAATTCTTCTGCATAATTTGGGGATAAAAAAACTTTTCTATGAGCAGATATTTACTAAAACTGTGAATGCTGTAAGATCAAAGAGTGACCAAGAGTGAAATGAGAAACTGAACACTAATTAAACAGTTATTCAGCTTACAGTAGTATCAACATATGTCTTGACATTCTTCTTCCAATAGTAATAAATTGTCTTACAACCAGATTTTCTATCATAAAAATGTGTTGAATGATTTGAAGCAAAACATCTAAAGGTAATGCACATGCTTTAACACATCACCAATTTGTCTTGACAATTGGAACGATGAAATTCCTAAGTTCAGATTCCAAATCTATGCTTGGAATCCCAACAAATTTTCATTATCTTACAGATAATTACAAAGGCATTCTTTCTTGCTGGCTGGACATTTGAGATTTTTGAGATATCATACCACAACCAATGTGGCTGGACCAGACTACAAGAGGGAACAGTAGCCAATGTGAGCATGTTTTATCACCTCCATGATAAGATGAAACATTTATGTTGTGAAGAAGGGACATAAAAGTGTGAAATTCACTTTGATACTGACACATAAGTATCTCTCAGATGTAACAAACTTATGACACAGGTCTAAATCACAAGAAACAAGCATGGTGGAGGACTGCAAGGAGTTGAATTCTGGGGGTGTTACTTAATTTATCTCCTATCCAAACACTCCAACAGAGCTCTCTGTAGCAATGATGACTTCTGGATAGATAATGTCCTAGTTTTATTTACATAATTTAAACTAATTACAAGGCTTGTTGGTACAGTTCCATTCTTGCCCAAATAAAACTGGTGGGTAGAGCAAATACAACAAGAGATAGCACAAATGTTTAGCAAAAACTGGTGATGCCATCAGAACCATAAAATGCCTGTTGGATAGGACCTGTGTAAATCTGTGATATAACACTGTCAATGTGCACTATTAAGACAGCTTATCAAAGGAAGATATACTCAACAAAGTGTAATTTGGAGATGGACAGCTCAAGTAACATAACCATCTCAAATGATGCATTCTGCCAAGTCACACCTATATTGCAAAAACTGAGTAAAATCAACAGTGCATCTAAACAAACAAAAAGCTTCTATTTCTGTCAGTTTCGTTCCAAAAAAGGTGACCATTTTATTTACTCAGAGAGATTAGGAGAACACACATTTTTAACTATAAAAGGAAACCATCAACCAGTGTAAACAATTATTCATTGTAGTTAATCGTTCTAATCAAGAGTAAAAGGGGAGAAGATACAAAATAGGATACGTACAAACAAAATAGAGATTTTAATTCATCAAACACGCTGAGGTCTAAGTACTTGATTCAATAACTTTGTAAAGTACATGCAACACAGTTTATTATGTAAAGGTTACACAGTACTCAACTTTAACTACAAAAACAAGCTTATGAATGAATAATAAAATTGAATGAACTTCAGCGATCTTCTCTCTCAAGTTATCTTACTTTTCAGTTAATATCAATTTAACGACTTTCTCTTTTGTGATTTTTAATTCCTTAACCTTTCTAAGAAGACTCCGAGTGGCCCCCTGAAATGCCAATTATTGCAAAGGTACTAAATGACACTGAATTCTCCCAACCTATTTAAATAGATAGAAAAAACAACACTGTAGTATGCGAAATGCGAGCTCCGAGGATGATCCATCAACAAAACAAAACACTGATTTCAGGATGGATCTGTGTTTTGAAAAATTCCTGTTGGGGAAGGATCCAAGATCTTTAATTCATGTCTAGATTCACATCATATTTTCATATGATGTCTCTGACCCATTTTTGATCCATCTATTCACTTTTCATCAAGGTTCACACTGATAATACTAATGATTACATTATACAATACAGAGATTGAGGATAAACCCTTAACTTCTGTTGTCTACTTTTTACATTATAGGGAGAAAAGCAAGAATTTAGAGTTGGGTGGTGTTTTCAAAACCTTGTTTTTCCTATACTTCTCATTCAAGGACTAAGATGGTATCCAGAACAAAACAGAAGCCTACAAATGCCCCAATAAGGAAAGATTTGCGATATGTTTTTGGCATGAGAAACCTTATTAGCTTATAATTTTCTTCTACAATCAGAGTTTTGATAGACATTTCTTCCAGGAGGGTATGACATTTTGCTGATGAACCAACAAAATTGAGTCCAAGGCATGATGCAATAAGATATAGCAATGCTGACAGGATAAAAACACACACCTTCGTCAACAATTCAATCAGTGCAAAAAAAAAGAAAAAAAAAATTATCACGGAATACACAATTTTATTGCGGAGTTTAAAATTGATCTCTCCTGGCAGGTTTACAGTATGCTGACTAAAATGACTGTCTCCCTCTAACAAAAGACTCTCTGGCCCCTTCCTTTATTCTGGTGACTAGTGTCGTCTCTGACAGTTAATTAACTTGTAGTCTAGCACTTAACAACAGTGCCTTGTCAAATACTCTGTAGAATTCTCATTTCTGTTGACTCCAATTTCTGGCACTGGAAAAAAAGAAACAGAATAGACATGCTAATTTGCACAGTTATTGTGTGTCTTATTTACAAAGTAATCATTCTGAAGTTAAAGACTTATTTAACTAGTAAATTTGGCTACAAAGTATTCAATTCCAGTGAATCAATTTCTGTTGACTCTGGGTCTCCTAGCTTCTCTATAAAGAGTTGTGAAATTTCACACAATCCCCTGCTCCATTAATCAGGGTTTAAGGTTAGTCCTTCCATTGTTAAGATGTTTTCAAGTTATTGTCAATAACTGCATTTATTTTGAAGAGAACAGATCTGCTATTCACTACTATCCAAAAATCTAAAATTGCCTTCATTTAATCACAATAAATAGCTCAACAGCAATTACATTACCAAAGTACATTCCCCATTTCTATAGGCAAAAAGACATAACTTTAAACCCTTACTATTCACTGAAGACCACAGACTGCAATTTGCTATAACAAACCTTACTGTTTCATCCTTCCCATAGCAAGGGCTATTAACATACAATATAAATTGTCCTTTAAATTAGGATCTGAAGTGTCTAATACCAAGGGCAGAAACTGCAGTTCAGGGCCAACCCCTTATCCTATAAGAACTGCGTATATTAGTTGCACCGATATGAAACAATATTTACTCAGCTATTCAGAGATTGTCTTGTTAACTGGAGATTTTGACACTTGGCATAGTAAACTTCAGCTCACATAAACACCAGTATTTTTCCCTTTGAGGGGGAACTTTTGTACATGGAAAGAAAAATATTTGGCTCCAGAATTAAAAGGAAGTGTACCTGATGTTGACACAAAATCAGGGTGGGAGTGTATTTTTACGAAATGAAAATTTTTATCCTCGGGTGATATTGTAAGGTTAAGGAACTCAAAACAAACCCTTGGTTAATGACAGAATGTTATTCTCAATGAATAACAGCACTTCTGAATCATTGTCATACAAAAAATTAAAAGGTTCCGAATATTCTAGACAGGATAGTCAATTGTATTTCACTCTTTCAGCAAGTTACAAATAACACTATGTGAAAAACAAGTTCTGGAATGTCAGTCCTCCCTGTTGCGCAGTGTAAGTTCACTGTTTCATACTTTGACATTTAATTTACGTAGTCTGTTAATTATTTAGCAGCTTCATTTTAAACAAAAGCTCATGTAATAGACTAATATTTCTAAAGTCTATTTATCAAATATCAAGTGAAATGACTTTTAAAAAACCTTTGCTATTATTAGTGTAGTCCACATATTTTTGGTCCAATTAACGTAAATCATCTCTCCTGTAATTATACTGCCAATAATAACCCCCCAAATTGCAGTCATTGGCAGATTCAGTTGCAAATTCTGAATTCCATGCTACATACCCTATCATCTAATGTCAAAATCTTCATTTACTGCAGCATTAAAAGGGGCAAACAGGTGCTGGGGCCTCAAAGCGGGGATTAGGGGGGGTCATCCCACAGAATCCATGATGTCAGCATCAGAGAAAAAAGTTCCAAGACAAATTAATCCTCCTATGACCTCACCTGATCTTATATGGCAGAAGATCAAAGGGGGGATCCTTAGTGTATTTCAGTGTATTCCTAGCCTTCTATTGACATATTAGCCTTCCGTTCAGAGCAAGTGCCAACACCAATTGACATAACATAGCAACTTCCACACTTTTTTACAAATTTACAGTCATAATGATAAGATATGCTTTACAAATAATCAGTCTATTCCTTTTGAACTCTGTAAGTGCTATCGTTTTGTTTGACATAGGGAATATATATTAAAACACATAACAATAGCGTATTTGATTATTGCTGATCAAAGCTATAGCAGGGGGGATTATTGTGTTTCAAAGAACACCTACAGAACATCTCTGTACAAACAAACAATTCTTCTATAGATAGCTCAAGTAGCTTCCGATGTAATAATTTAATAGATGACGTATTTAAACAATTGTGTTGTTTCTTTACTTTATCCTTTGCCAAAAAAGTCCTTGTTTTTCAATCGTTGCTCAGTTTGCATATATTTTTAAATTGATATATTGGAACAATATGTATATATCCCCCATAAAATTTAAATAAATGGCTATATATAGAACCTGGCAATTGTTCCTCGCAAAGAAACATGAAGAATGATAATTGGGTTGCTGTAAATATGAACTCTCAGCTTGGAAAATAGCCATTTGTGGGTTTTGGACATTAGTCAAACTTCTTTTTCAGCAAACTCTTAAAATATATCACAGGAGACCCCTTATAACACTTGAACAAAGAAGCCAGTGTTTGACAAACTTAACCAGGGACTGCACTGCTATTCATCATCTCATTCAGATCAATATTATGACCAAGTTCAACATTCCTCCTCTTATATTTACACAACCATCAGGGCAAACACAGAAAAAAGTACACAGCACATATGCACTACTTTCTTTCTTTTTTTTTAAGAAATGTGTAAATATTTTAAAAAAAAAAGTATACCAGTTTTAAAAAGGCTTACGATTGCAAAACTTCTCCCTTATAAAAACCAAAGAAAAAATTTGAATGAAAATTAAATCAATGCTTAAGTTGACCTGTAAATATTGTTTTGGGGTACATATGCATGCACCTAGTAATCTGAATGCACACTGAAAACTTCCATTCAATAAGGACATCTAAACAGGTGCATTAAGATCCTGTTCACACAAACTCTTGGTTTACTCTCAGTAGGAAGAGGTGCAGGTAAATAAATACCCAGATACCAAAAACAAAGACGTAGAAGTATTGTAAAATTAAAGTACATGTATTGAGAAATTCTTAAAAAACCCACATATTTCTTCAGCATCAATAGGAGCATTATAAAGAAGTATCCAGAAAATTGTATGATGTATGCATAAACAATCGGGGAAAAAAAAAATTGAAAATTTTTTCTTTAAATACACGCCATAAACTTCAAGATGGTATTCTAAAAGAATCACTCTGAATTTTTTTGAAAGATAAAAGTTGAAGTATACACACCTACACAACATTAAAGAGCTAGTGAGTATTTTTAGAGACACCAAAAAAGAAACCTCTCCATATATCGTTGATTTATAAAAATTATGTAAGATGTCATAAAACTAGTAAACAAGGGTATGACAAAGTACAAAGACAAAACACTTCATATTTAAACTGCAGTGCAAACAATCAACACAGATACTATAATTGTACCTGAGGCACAACTTCCCCTGATTTTACAAGTCTCCCCACTTCATAAAATGGCACAAACTCTTTACCCCCACGAAGTATTTATTCATAGCCCTGCTATAAGATATAGAAATCCTAATGTACAATCAATCACTCAGACTAGCCTATGAAATTGGCCCTTTATTGCCTTTATTTTCAGTCACAAATTATGGCATGTATAAATGCAAATAATTGCTTTATCTCAAGTTGTAAATTTTCCCCCATTTTCTGCCTATAAGGCTAAATGTTTACCATTTTTAATCTGTCATCAGCAGAAATTGTTCTGTACCTAAAACAAGTGATCACAGACTTGGGAATTCAATAATACAGAGCTAATAATTTTCTTTAAGAGACATATTCATCACACGGTCTTGAGAGTACGGAAAAATATCCTACAATTAGTAAGGCAGTGATTATAGAAGAGAATAAAAAATCTTGGTTCCTAATCCCTTCTATTGTCCATAACTGTTTTAATTTTCAACAGTTTTTGATATTATCCTAATATAGTTAAAGAAATGGCATAATATAGCTGGAATTCCCATTATATCTGTATCTATTATGGCCTTGCCCTTTATCAAGGTCAAACACTATCATTTTTCAAAATAAGAGTCAAGAGGTCTAACACTGGTGAAAAAAAATATCATAATATCCTCGCAATATACTTATCACGTCAGTAGAACCTGCTGGTGAACAATGTCTGTAAGTATATCTATAGACACTATATACAGCACACTTAGACTGCTAAAGTTCATAATTGGATCAGAAAAGGAGACAGCTTGGTCCCTTGTCAAACTTGAATTACACAGATAAGGAAATAAATGCCTCTTCCGAACAATAAGGGAATTATGCTGTGTTATGATATACGAGACGTAAATGTTTTATAATTTGAACATTTATAAGCAACAAGATATTTGCCAGTGTTTAATTGAAAAAAGAGAATCTCTCTCCCCACGACATGGATGTTTTGGCATGAACCAAGATGAAAAGAAGGTGCTTTCATTCAAGGTCTTGAAGATATAACTTGAGAGCCCCAATACTTTACATCAGTGATTTATAAACAGAGAGCAAATTACATGGGATTAATCCGTTGTTTACAGTTACACAGAAATTAGTAATTTAGATGATTTAAGGCATTTTACATAATCCTTATAGATTTCATACAACAGACTGCTTTTTATTTGAACCTATAGCAAAGGACATGCACAAAAAAACAATAGTCATCTGTTGACCTTATTCACCTTTTTAAACTCAAGACTGAGCACTTTTTTGTGAATGAGTTGCCAAAATGAGTTAATATTTCTGTAGTAAAAATTTTACAATTTTTAATTACCGTAATGACATAAACAATTCTGTGGTTGAATACTTCTGTTTTTCAAATTTGCATCAGTATAAAACTACATGTACGTAGAATCTCTGGATGAAGCACTAAACTACATTATTACCTAATCAAATGATTATTGTTGTTTTATTAGAGATTTAATATTTTCATCTATTATGTATATGTTTTCAGTTTTCCTTATCTTATCAAACCGATCTATTGACCGGTCAATAGACTGTGCGTTCTATTGACCGGTCAATAGATTGCGCGTTCTATTGACCGGCAACGTATTTCGGAAAAAACGATCCGGGTTTCGAATTTAGTTGTTTGTTACATTACACAGACATGGTAAACAATCATCTTATTTGATCTTTCGACATTATTTTTAAAAATTGTATGATTTCAATGCTCGGATATTTTATTTAATGAGAGTTACTTTAATTAATGCACTGTGGGACGTGGAGACCGGTCCTTCGGGTGAGACCTATAAATCGAGGTCCCTTGTCGCACTAGGTGCACTGCTGGCACGAAAAAAGCCCCTCTCTAACTTCATGTGGTGGCGTCTCCACATGAGTGAAAAATTTTCTCGAGGAATATAAACGATAGTCTATACAATCAATCTTTAATTAATATTACAAATGCACCATATCTAGGTATAAATTACCAATATAGTACGGGAACTTTCTGTACTAGATATGAAATTGTGAAAACTTAATATGGAAAATAAAATTAGGTAATAAAACAATTATTTAATGCCTGAGCAGTCAATAGACCAGAAAATATTTCCCTCGGTGCAGGGAACGGCTCAGTGTGTTCTATTGCCCTCGGCCGCTGGCCTCGGGCAATAGAACACACTGAGCTGTTCCCTACACCTCGGGAAAAATATTCTGGTCTATTGACTGCGCAGGCATTAAATAATTGTATATTATTGCCCTCCTCTGCAAAAACTGATTTCTTATAATTTTTTTTTATGTATTTAATATATTGACTTAGCACAGAAATCTTTCTTATACTCAGAATTTTAAGTTATGAAGTATGAAAACTCTGATCAGATGGCTCATTCAAGATTCAAAATAAGAAACTGTTAATCAAATGACCTGTTCGTTAAAAATTATATGTACAACAATTTCTTAACAGTCAAAACTTATCAAAAAGGAGTAATCAAATATTTAATCTGCCTTGTGATTGGTTAATTTATATCGTAAATCTCGAAATTCAAATTTTGAATATTGATTTTTGAATCTTGAATAAGCTTTTGCATTTTTGCAATAAAATGATGCATTCTCATCATTTTCTTCTGAACTTACTTGGGCTTTGGAAAGGCAGAATCTATATATACATTTTCGTATTAATTTTTCCTATGTAGTGTGGATTGAAAAATAAATCTAAGAAATTTACATTCTAAATCGTCATATACCCCTAAAAAGACTATAACCATATCGGACAACTATTTGAAATGTTTTAATCAAGGAGATATTTCAATTTCAGGTATGCTTTGTAGATAAGTTAGCTTGGCGTACTAAGGTGCTTGTTGTTGAAAACGACACAAGATGTGAGTCACCAAATATATGTTTCTTCAATGTTTAATATTATTTCTCCCCAGCACAGATTAGATAGAGGGAACAGTGTCCCCCTTATCAACTGTTTGTATGGAATTATCAGCTATTAGACCCAAACTTGAGGATATGTGGAAATCTAGCCAATAAACAGTGGGAGCTGATCTGACCTATTGTTATGGCAGGGGTCTCTCTGACAGATTAATGCTGATAAGTAAGGATTTTTTATTTTACACTTTATCATTTTGGAAACTTCCACATTTTTGCCTTAATGAATTGACTCCTTGGCTATCAGGGGTGTCGTCTCTGTGGATGTCCTATTACTGTCACAAGTACTCTTGATTTATGAAAAGTATCTGTTCCCTCAAAGTCTGGGAGGAAGTAGTATTTCATGGTGACAGAAAAAATAATTTGTTTAGTAATTAAAATTGCAATCTACTAAACTAATTTTTATCAGGAAGACCAATTCACTAGAGAAGAATGTCTCTCCCCCCTGGAGCAAGAGCAATAAAATTTACAGCACACAGATGACCAATTCCAGCACACCTTAAGCTCAAATAAAACTTTTACAGAGAATAAAAATGAACTGAACTGAGTCATACCAACCTCATAAACTAAAATAAATAATAATTACAAAATAATATTATTTCAACACAAACACTTAACCTATCAGTAATCCTTTTAAATGCCTAAAAATATTGTCCTTGATATTGTTTTTGTTTAATAATTGATATTGTTTTTGTTTGATAAAGAATGACATACTTCTATGACAAAACCTTTGTTTTTACTACCGAATTAATTCCTGGAATGACGTCACGTTTCCTACATACATTACCATTTATGCTCAACACAAATATCAACCCATCCTACATGACAAGGTTTCTTACCTCTATCTGGTATCATCTGGTATTTTGCACAGACTTTTTTTATCACTTGGTTAATATACTTTGATCCATCTGAAATACCAAATCAAGATTTACAATTATATAAGAGGTAATCGTCAATTCCAATGTCAATTATCGTTTTTGTTAATTGTAATAAAAAGTGGCTGAGAAATGTGTCCTATTTTTTGATATTGCGTCTAATAAATGTCAATTTGTGATGGAGTGTGGGACAAATTGTTCATTAATCAACACTGTCTCCTTCTTACTTCCATGACTTTATTTTTGTGTACTCCCTATTGGCTCCAAGAATTCTATGAAGGGGATTGGTCCATTTTGATTCATTATGATGATTGGCTCATTTGAATTTCATTGCATTTATTAACTTGAATACTATATTTTCACTCTTACGACAATGTTATGCCCTTCATTATTCAAACAGCTGACAATTTTTAACCATTAAAGTGATAGGATAGATAATAGGAGATTTGTCACATGATAACCACATACTTGTGATGACTTAGAAAATACACAAACAATCACTTGCATAAACAGTCAAACCTTATAATTTTAAACTGAAAGGGACCAAGAAAAAATGTTAAGAAATCTGCAAGATTAAAATACATAAAGAAGAATGGGCTCCAGATTTAACAATTTTTTTTTCACACTGAATTGTCTAAGAACTTTTCCATTTACTTGTTCATGTATGATGACAAGGGGTACATGGCAACTGTGACCACTTAAAGGAAATTCTCACTCCTTCATGGCACCTGATCCCACCTCTATTTTCAGATTGTGGTTGCTATGCTCATGACTTGTACATGTATTGATTAACTGCCTCAATAATTGGAACTTTGAGCATGATAACTGTTTGTTATGATATTCACATTTCATCCATGATTTTCCAGATATCAAAAGTTAGCTAAGATATCAAGGCAATTAAGGTACTCAGTGTGGTAATTAATTTATCTCATTTTCCTTCACATAAAGTTCAATGATTATGATTCAAAGTCATCCTATATAAATATAAATATTTCATTACCAATCTCAAGGTCAACGGTCAATGTCAAGACTAATGTCTTATTCTGATGTTCAATTACATAAGCTGATCAATCTGAAAATGTTGTCCATAACAGAGATACTGTTTACCATTTATAAGGTCAATGCCAAAACTCAAAACCAATGTTAACCTCTAAAAGATATTTCAAGTATCTTCTGAAAAGTAAAAAAAATACATGCCATCTTTGACAAATGTATAATTTAAAGCAAACATTTAAAAATTTCAAGGATAAGTATCAAGTTTAAGGTTAATTGTAACATTTAAAACAATTCATCTTTATTTGCTTACATGTGAATTTAGAAATGATGTCCAGAAGGAATCATCCCAAATAGTCTTCTCTTTTTTACTAACTTCAAGTTAAAATGTCATTTAGGCAAAATTTATCTTGAATGATGATATTTTATTTAAAAAAAATCCTTATTACTTATATGTAACATCATAAAATAATAGTTAAGAAAAGGTCATTCTCAACAAAATAAAGTTTTTCATTATCTAATGTCAAGGTCAGTTCAAAACAGACAAATGGTCATCATCAATCTCTGGATCAAATTTTGTAGCAAAAAAGAGTAAAAAAAAGCAGAAACATGTAAATCCTCTGTTATAAAAGCTAGACTTCCATTAAAACGAAACCAATTCATCATCTCCCTAATAGCATTTTACACCATAATAACTTTAAATAGGTAGTACATGTTAACGCATGGGCACTTAAGTATCAATCTGCATTTTATCATCCTTTTTTTCGAGCACATTAAAAAAATTATAAAGCAAAACGTTAAGAAGTTGTCACATTTTATCTTCTTTAAATTGCTCCAGTTGTTCTTGTGATGTTTTCTTTTTAAATGGTCACATCCAATTTTCACTATTTCTTGATATCTCCCCTTGCAAGGGGGTATAACCCTTCATTTGCACAATTTGGAATTCCCTTCATCTATGGGTACCCTGTGCTAAGTTTGGATGAAAATGTAGTCAAGCCCCCCCCCCCCCCCCCCCCCTTCCTCACCAAAAAAGGAAAATACGGTTGACAAAAAGTCAATTAAAAGATGCAAGAATGGTGCAATTAAAGTACAAATTGTCTCTTCCAATCAAATTTTTCTATTACATGTTTTTATCCTGCATTGCTTAATGTTGATCTTGACCCTGATGCTTCAGTTGCGGTTGGAATTTAGCCATTAATTTTTTTGTCCTTTTCATTTCCATAAATATGTCAGTTATCAGCTTCCCTGCACACACTTCTATCAATAAAACACATCTGTCATTTCAGAATCTATCTTTAGTGATCTTTTAACATAAATTACATATTTTAATAAGAAATGCATAATTTGAAATTTAAAGTATTCCTTGGCTGCGTCCACAGGCAATCAACCAAGCTCTTCATATTTTATCATAATTAATTGATGAAAATTAAATGGACAAGGAAATTAATTATTCATTTTGGTGTTTATTTCAACAATTCCAAATTTTTGGATAAAAAGAAAAAAAATGTGTTATTAAAACACGAATTATTTTTTTATTTCATTATTTTCCATTTCAGATGTGGTGAGCTAATAGACACTTGATTTGCAAGAAAAATTGTTTTTCTCAGGATTTGTGATATCAGTTATAATAAAGTGAATCTCGCTGTATACCAGGACCCATTCCTGTAATTCCTTATCATCGTGTAGCAGACTGTTGTTACACTCTGATAATAGCATCATAAACTAGAAATCTGGAATGGCAAAGTTGTTCTCTTGGTAATTCACTAATTAATTTAGAGGAAGAACTTTAGAAAACCTGTTCTTTTATACCTAGCATAAATCTGATACAAGACAGTTACCATCCACTCCATACATACTTAAATAATTAGTGAGATCTGATAAATGCAGCCATTACCTCCAGAAATGAAAGCTTTATTGGAGTTCTATCCTCTGTGTGGCCATTATAATTAGGGGGCAGGACTGTCCAATAACTGATCCCTTCATAGGACCCTGAAAGAACAATCAAAGTCATTTATCATTTTTTCACCTTTTTACTAGATTTTTTAACTTTACCTTCCTTTGTGCCTGGTTATTTAATTGTTAATCAAATCCATTTGAAGGGCAATTTGTCAAATCCTTGGATTGAGGCGAGAAACAAGAGACCAATCTATGCACTTGATTCACAAATTATTTACAACTTTTTGCCACAATTACTATGTAATTAATGACATCTATTAATTTATAATCTCATTAACTTAAATGACAAATAAAATTCCAAGTTTATACAATCTATTTTGGCCAGCCTGCTATTGATCAACATGCATACATTTATTTGAATAAAAATAATCAAACTGTGTTACAGTGCAAAAAAATAACTCTACAAGTTGAAATATACACACAAAACATTCAGGTCATTTTAAATATTCTGAGATAGTATAATTTATTCCAGTGCATATGATACTGTATATATCAAACAGACATGAATATATGACTATTTAACTCAGTTTTAATGCCATGTCATCCCCCCACTAGGTTTCCACCAATCATTATTATTACCAGACAACTGAAGTAAACCAAGAGATGCGCAGGGTTACGGTATTAAAACAAGAAGCCCAAGGCTCTAATTGTTCAGCTGAGTATGAGGATTTTTCCTAATTTTTTAATTAATGAATCTAAAATAACTCACTATCAAAAACTTTGTATAATTTTTCAATTGGTACTGGTATCTCTTAATTAACATTTAAAAAAAAAACTTTATAGGCTTTGATGGTCATTTCATCATCCTGAATTTCTTAAGCTATGACATTTATACCCTGACTTGGAATGGAATGGTACATTACCTTTATGAATAAAATACTGCAAGAATTAAGTCTGCTAGATTCTCAAGAGTACAGACTTTTTATTTAAAGGAATATATCTACTGCACTTTTAATAATATATGATCAGTTGAACTCAACCCTTGGACCTGTTTCCAAGGGACACAGATTAACACTTTTGTCAAAGGACTCATTGCTCTTCAGAGTATACTGCATTTTAAGTTCAACAACTTCCAGGTTCCAATCCCATGGTATGAATCTGAGGAGTCAAGAAGTTTACAATATGTCAGAGGGTTAACTATTTTCTCTGATGTTTAGGAGTAAAGCAATAATATTTGAAAGATATGATAATTTTTTGTTAATTTTTATGGTCTTGACCCTACCCCTTGGAACCCAGAAGTATGGTGGTAAAGTATCCCTAAAATTTGTTCCCCATCACATAAACATAGGTAATCAGAGATTACAGAGCTCACCTCAACGAATGTTGTCTTTAAGTAAGGCAAAGTCACACAATTAACCAACAAGAAGTATACATTCCAAAAATGAAAATATTTTTAAAAGCAATTTTGATCTGATACTTTGAAATAGACCTACATAAAAAATTTAAACTACTTCTTCTTCATGAAAATGTAATGAAAATCCAGCATCTGAAGCAAATTTGAGAGTTTTCATCTCTTGATGCAGCATATATGCAAGTTTGGTTTATACAATGTTATATAAGCCTTATAGTTTTTGGTAATAGACCTGCAACCATAACTTTTACCTTGTCTATTATCTGAAAAATGTATGTCCAATTCAGCATCCGAAGCAAGTCCATTAGTGTGCATCCTTAGATGTATCATCCATGCAAGTTTGCTCATTATAGGGCTCATAGTTTATTGGAAATGAAACATGCATCAAAACTAATATTTTCACTCATCCACAAAAAGTAGGTCAGATTCAGCATCCGAAGCAAGCCTAGAAGTATGCATCCTTAGATGTATCATCTATGCAAGATTGGTCATTAAAGAACTCATAGTTCCTTGGAAATGAAACCTGCACCAAAAACTTTTAACTATTCACTCAACCGGAAAATGTAGGTCAGATTCAGCATCCGAAGCAAGCCTGGTAGTGTGCATCCTTAGATGTATCATCCATGCAAGTTTGGTCAACATAGGGCCTAAAGTTACTTGCAAATGAAACCTGCACCAAAAACATTAACCTGTTCGCTCAACTGGATAATGTAGGTCAGATTCAGCATCCAAAGCAAGCCCGGTAGTATGCATCCTTAGATGTATCATCCATGCAAGTTTGGTCAACATAGGGCTTATAGTTACTTGGAAATGAAACCTGCACCAAAAACTTTAACCTGTTCACTCAACTGGAAAATGTAGGTCAGATTCAGCATCCGAAGCATGCCCGGTAGTATGCATCCTTAGATGTATCATCCATGCAAGTTTGGTCAACATAGGGCTTATAGTTACTTGGAAACGAAACCTGCACCAAAAACATTAACCTGTTCACTCAACCGGAAAATGTCGGTCAGATTCAGCATCCGAAGCAAGCCCGGTAGAATGCATCCTTAGATGTATCATCCATGCAAGTTTGGTCAACATAGGGCTTATAGTTACTTGGAAATGAAACCTACACCAAAAACTTTAACCTGTTCACTCAACCGGAAAATGTAGGTCAGATTCAGCATCCGAAGCAAGCCCGGTAGTATGCATCCTTAGATGTATCATCCATGCAAGTTTGGTCAACATAGGGCTTATAGTTACTTGGAAATGAAACCTGCACCAAAAACATTAACCTGTTCACTCAACCGGAAAATGTAGGTCAGATTCAGCATCCGAAGCAAGCCCGGTAGTATGCATCCTTAGATGTATCATCCATGCAAGTTTGGTCAACATAGGGCTTATAGTTACTTGGAAATGAAACCTGCACCAAAAACATTAACCTGTTCACTCAACTGGAAAATGTAGGTCAGATTCAGCATCCGAAGCAAGCCCGGTAGTATGCATCCTTAGATGTATCATCCATGCAAGTTTGGTCAACATAGGGCTTATAGTTACTTGGAAACGAAACCTGCACCAAAAACTTTAACCTGTTCACTCAACCGGAAAATCTAGGTCAGATTCAGCATCCGAAGCAAGCCCGGTAGTATGCATCCTTAGATGTATCATCCATGCAAGTTTGGTCAACATAGGTCTTATAGTTACTTGGAAATGAAACCTACACCAAAAACTTTAACCTGTTCACTCAACCGGAAAATGTAGGTCAGATTCAGCATCCGAAGCAAGCCCGGTAGTATGCATCCTTAGATGTATCATCCATGCAAGTTTGGTCAACATAGGGCTTATAGTTACTTGGAAATGAAACCCACACCAAAAACTGCACCAAAAATGTTAACCTGCTCCAAAAACATTAACCTGGTAATTCCTTTGCTGAAATTGCAGCATCTGAAACTTTGACTGGTACAATAAAACACATTTGAAGCATCTTCCATGCATGTCTCATCAGTATAGGACACAGAAGTAATTAAAAAGAAAACTGCTCCAAAAAACTTAACCTTAACCTGGGACGCCGACGCCGACGCCGACGCCGACGCCGAGGGTATCACATAAGCTCCCCCCAACTTCGTTGAGGTGAGCTAAAAATTAAGGGTTTTTAAAAAATGATTGAATTGAGAAGAAACTAAAAATGTTGAAAATTTTACAAATGCTCACCCAAGTGACTAGAATGGACAGTGATAGGCTGTACAAAATCCTTGACATTTTAATTGGTTTACTTTCACTTTCCAAACTGATCACACATGAATATAAAGTGGGTTCTTCAATCAAACTACAATGTATTAATAAAAGTAGTTTCATGTTTGATGTATTGTTTCTTGATCTCACTGTCTCCACAATCAATCCTTTATTAACTGGCTGGCTCTACCAGTCAAACACACAACATTTTTGTGTGGCAAAAGGTAATGCAATCAAAAAAAATAAACTCCATCATATCGTTGCATGCTTTCATTTTATTTTTCATGTTTGATTTAAAATATTTGATGAAATGGTTGTCAATGTTGTTCATCTGCATAACCCGGTAGTAATTCTTACAACTAAACTAGTCTTCATTGATGATCAAGTGGGAAACATCTTGAGTAATTACAAATGTAATTAACATTTTAAGTCACAAACGCCCATATACTTTTAATTGCAAACGAGTCTAGACTGTCTATATAGCTTTCTTCTCTACTTTCAACTGACATTACTGGCTTTCTGATTGACAAAAGTGCGATTTTCTAAAAATATTGTCTATTTATTTATGCAAAATATCTAAAATAAATCATTATTTCAATATATATTTAATGGTTGAACATAACAAACTTCTAGTACTCAATGAGACAACATTCTCACTAATTAACTTCCCTACATTAATTTTACAGTGAATCTGCTTTCAGACCAAATTTGACAGATTTTGGATAGGTTTATGGTTAAGAAAATTCCATTTCAGTGAATGATAATATGGTCTTATCGGCTGTACAATGTATTACATATCATACATGTAGTAATTAAGCCATGTGTCCAAATACAATCATTTATCTTATGTTTTATGTATGTACAATTTCTAAAACGTAGTAAATTATTGACAAATAACTTGATGAAACAAGAATATCAGCAGTCTTGTATAAAGTCATCATATTATATGAGTTTTATGGTCGATACGATGACCTTGTCAGCAAATTAATTTATGACCGAGTCAAATGCTGACTGAAGTTTTTATACTCATTGTAAGACTAGTATTTACAATTGTCAATGCATTTTTTTGCTATTTCCCGATCATGTCAAGAAGCACACACAGGTGTGACTGGTTGGTAAGGGATGTTCACTCCTCAATGGCACCTAATCCGACCCCTGATGTTTGAAGGTCTGTGTTTGCTCTGCTCCTTCTTTGTTTTGTTTAATGGACTTTTGAGCTTAAGTACTGTTCGTCATCTCTATATATTTCATTATCTGCATTCAACCTTCTTACATAATTAACACTAAATGTTGATTCACAGCCTGATATAAATTTTTGTCATCAACTTCTATGTCAATGTCTCAAACAAAAATTATACCCAATGCAACAAGCCCTTACTGGTGCACTATAAAAACAACTACTCAAACAAGTGAAAATTTAATTTCTTGATAATGAAATTCTGTGAAATATCTTGGATTGCACTGCTAA